AAAACAATAGCCAGCAGCTCCCAGCTGTTGGCCACTTATTTGAATGGATCAAGAGAAAAGCCAGTCAGCACTCGGGCTTTCCCACAACCACCCCAAACCAGCTACTGAGTTCCCCCATTTCCTTCTTGTTTCGGTGTCCCTTGGACTGAAGTTTCATGGCCCCGGCAGCTAAGTAAAGCAGGAGGTTCCAGCTGTCATGACTAAGCTTGACTGCATTCAGATGTGGTTAACTGCCAAGGAGGATACTTGGCTAGGAAAGAGGTAGGGTGTATGGTGGCCCCTTTGGGTATTTGTTTCAATTTCCAGGGCACTTCAGCTCTGTGGGGAGGCACTAAGGCAGTGAACTGGGGCTACAGCAGATGCCTAGTCTTTTTTCCTCTGGCGGAAGTAGGGAGAGGGAAGCAACTATGACAGAAGCTAATTTACCTTCCCAGAAGTAAAATTTTGAAAGTCATGTTTCTATTTAGAATTTACTCTCTTTATACCATACAGTAAACCATTCTGGAATCTCTTTCCTTCCCCCTTGTCACCTCTGATTTCTTTCTCCCCCTTCCTGGTTTCGCTTCTTGCAAACTAAAATGATACTCTACACACAATAAAACCCACATGAGAACCATAATTCTTCACTTAATGTGTTTTCACTCTAATGAATAATTTCTAGGAAAGAATCCTCTTTGTTAAGTGATGAATTTATGCAGGTTCATATACACTGATGTGCACACGTGTATATGCACAGGGCTATAGAAGAGTGTCTGATGTCTGCAGCCGTAGAGAAAATTTAATAATTTCCTTTCAGTTAACATTGCTATTACTGAAGTTCATTTTTTATTTAAGTAAAACTTTGCACTTTAATTCAATGTATCAATGTTCACACATGAAAATTTTAGCTCAGTCTAGAACCTTAATGTGAAATGTATGACTTCCAGAAAGCATTTTTTAAAAATCTTATTGTCATTAATAGCTCTAATCAAGGCAGAACCTATTATTCAAAACAAGATGATTCTTGACATCCAAAAATTAACTTAAGGATGATTCAGGACACTCCTAGTTGTTGTTTATTGTTTTCATTTTCAAGGCTATTAGTCCATGTTTAGTGGAGACATAGGGATGTCAACATACAATTTATGTACATATAATTGACAGTTCAGGAATACCTGATTTGGAAATCTGATCCCCAAAGTTACTGACTATGAGATCTCTTTTATATGCTCTCTGCTTCACAACTCTTTAAGGCAGCACTTAGCTAATATGTCATAGACTGGCTGTGAATTGTTTTGGTGGAGGGAGTTCCCACACTTAAAAGTCACCTTTGCTGAAAATAAAAATGCAGATCCTTTTATATGTAGGTTTTCCCACTAGAAGTCATTCTGCAAGAGGATAGGAATAGACTCATGGCCTTGACCAGAGGTGCCAAACTCAGGCTGCTTGCTAGCAAAACTGCCAAGTACAGCTCAGACCGGATTAAAATAGAATTGAGAAATGTTTAACAAAATGAATCAAAATACAATAGAGAATAGATCATGTTAATTTGTGGTTTTTCTAATTCAATATGTGGCTCTTGGAGATCTGTTTTTATTTGTTTGACACTATTGGTCTTGACTATAACCAACACTTGTGAAAAAAGGAGAGACTTCCCTGGGCACATGCATAAACACCATGCCTGCCACTCTCACAATTGTTTTTATGTACCTATGGTCTATTCTACTGATATTTCATTATTACAGAAATGATGAACATTATAATGTGGTCTTCTCATTACAAGTATTATTTTGCTCCACTGGATAGCATCATTATTTCATTGCTAAGGCAAAGAAAGACCATTTCCTTATCATTCTTTGGACCAATTTGTGCAATTCTCCAGACAATTCCTTATGTAATTCTTTTCAGTTGTTCTTTCTGGTAGACATTAGCCACAGAGTATCAATCAGGGATGCTTGCCATTTCTTTCCAAAACAATTATTTTCATAAGACTCAGGTCATAAGTAGACACATGTATGTTCAATTGACTAATGAGTGGATTCAATTAGAATTGAATACATGGGAGAGACTGGGCAGGATAGAATCTGGACAAATGAATAGTGCTTTTAATGATCATCAGGCTAATCACTGACAAAGAAGGCAATCTTTATAAGACCAGGATTCTCTTGCTGATGATTAATGGCAGTGAATCCTGGAACACCACAGCATCCAAAGAATAAAAGTTATGGACGACCCAAGCAAAACAGAGACCCTAAAAATGAGCACAAGTAGTCTTTTCTGTATTGTCAGCAGTGATTTGCCTACAAGAAGCAACACGAAGATGTCATCTAGGGAATACATGGTCAGAAAAAGAGATAGTTGAGTCACAGTGAGAGATAAAAGAGGGCAACCTAAGAGTTCCACTGATGCCTCCAAAATGTTAAGAGACCCAGACACCTAGCATGCTGGGTAGACCATTTATGGACCACTTTTAGGGCATGGATAATAATCACACAGAATGAAAAGGTGTGGATGGCATGAGGTCTACACCAATAGAAGGAGGAACCATATCCATGGGTTCACCCTGTCAAAGCCAATTATGTCACAGATTTCAAGATTATGGATCATGAGCTGGAAGGAACTCAGAGGCCATCTAGTATAACCCCATCATGTTTCATGTGAGGAAACCGAGATCCAGAGCAGCATAAGTGTTAGAGATGGTATTTGAGCCCTGATCTTCTCCATTTTAGTACCCTGCATGTGTGTTGTTGTTGTTTTTTTAATTCAATAAGCCATGATTAGGCTCTTGCCACACACAAGTCACTGTGTTGGACGCTGAGGGATCTAAAGACACAATAAAAGACATTACAAAAAGAGGAGCAGAAAAAGAATGGGGAGTATTTGTGTTCTTTGGGTATTTTTAGGGCGTAAATTTTAAGCTTACTTTAAAAACAGTAGCAATGACACTGTGAAGACAAAAGGGAAATGATTGTACAGAGATAGCTTGTAAAAATGTGTAAAGCAGGCAAGAGAACCAGCTATCAGACAATATGCTGGCTTCTCTCCAGGGACATTTGAACATTATTATATGGGGCCATTGTGCCCCATCATAGGATGGTAGATCAGAAAAAACAAAATAAGATATAATGATTTGAAAACTATGCCAGTAATTAACTATAGTGATGAAAACAGTAATCCTGGGAAATTTTATCCTGCAAGCAGAGACTACACAGTTTTAGTACACATAAATAAATATACTTTTATTTCCAGTTAAATTATAAAACTACCCATCGGTATTTCTTGATTTTCCCAAGTGGTTCAGCACAACCTGGTCCGTTCCTAGTATAATGTAATGAAAAGAGTCAAGACATGGAGATCAGAAAACCCAAAGTTCTGGGCTTAGCTCTGCCATAACTGGTCATATGATTGCATGCACGTCACCTCACTTTTCTGGGCCTCAGTTTCTGTCTCTGGAGAATGGGGGACTAAAGAATATATGTTCTCTAAGGTTCTCCTTTCAGTCTAGGTCTGGAGTGGTCCAGAATTCTTCTTTGAATGGATCTTGGATATATCATTTGTGTCCTTTGATTTCCTGGGCTGTGACCTTTGGATTTGTTGTTTTGGAACCTAGTTATCATATTATACAATGAGAATATACTTAGAAACATGATATTAGAATTTCATTGGCTCCTTACGTAAAAGAAGTGGAATACAAATGTGTGCATTAAGAGACTTGTGTCATTATATATATATGTGTGTGTGTGTGTGTGGTGTGTGTGTGTGTGTGTGTGTGTGTGTGTGTGTATACACACACACATATATGTGAAGAGAGGGAGAGACAGAGACAGAGACAGAGGCATTAGGTCTGTGATTTCATTAGTCAAAGCAAATTCCCTCTATCTCTGCATTGTCAGTACTTTCTCTATAACTGTCTTGGAGAGTTGCCTGAGGCAATGAGATATTAAATGACTCACTCAGGGTCATACAGACAATATGAGTTACATGCAAGATTTAAATATGGGTCTTCAATTCTGAAGGCTGACTCATTTTCCATTATGCCACTCCATCTCTCTCTCTCTCTCTCTCTCTCTCTCTCTCTCTCTCTCTCTCTCTCTCTCTCTCTCTCCCTCTCCCTCTCTCTCTCCCCCCTTCTCTATACATATATACACACATGCATATATACACATATTTCTATGTATACACACATATGCATGTATCTTTTATCTTAAAAACATAATTCTGTCAATTTGTAGACCCAGCACATTTTAACTTACATTTTAAATTTACAAGCCTGAAATTATCATACTGTCCTTAAGTCTACTTCTTATGTAAGTACTGGAATTTTTAAAGGTGGAGTAGTTGTTTCCCCATGAAATCTAACAATAATAATGACAAGTTAAAATGAACACCTGGACCAGCCAGAAAAGCAGGGGCACAAGCACCTCTGAAGTTGTGAATGCTTTCAAATGAGCAAGTAAAGGAGTCTAGACAATAATACTAGCTAACATTTATATAATTTGCAAATGGCTTTACATATGCTAATTCATTTGATCCTAATAGCATCTTCAGCCCCAGGAATCTGTCTCCTGTACATGAAAGCTTTATTTTAATTGTGTCTTTGCCAGCTAGCCAGTTGGAGATGCTCCTTGCAGTTCACCACACAAAACTAATGCTAGCATTTTGCAAGAAGGTTTGCTCTGTTCCCTCCCCTATTTTTCCTCTACAATCATTAACCTTCCCGTGTTTCCCTGGCCCTGCCACCCTGCCCTTGTTCTTCTCTAAAGTCATTCCACAAAAGTACATTATGTCCCAGACTATGGAATAGTACCTGTTTTTGCTTATAATTTGGAATTTAAAAAAATCAGCTCTCTTTGATAATTTTGAGGTCCACATGGCATTTTTAAGAAGTATATATGGTCTAGAGGGTGAGAAAGCCAGGCTACACTCTTCCTCAGGATCCCTTCCTTTGTTCTCTTCTCCTCTTTAGACAAGTTGCTTTTTTTTTCCACACACAAAAAGGTTGTATTCTTTTGAAATTCCTACAACTATTAAGAACCCAATATACAACACTGAGTGATTAAACGGCTTCCTGAATTGGACTGTCCAAATGTAACATCCTGGAAAGAGGCAATGAACACAGTGTTAGGAGACTTTTTAATATTATTCTACTATTTTTCTATAGATGTTTATTGAGCCTGACAAGATGACTTCTGGGACATAAGGGGTATGGCTAATTTAATCCCTTCTCATCACCGTTCTCTTGGTTTCAGGTAAATTAGTATTCAGCATGTATGCTAAATGAAATGGAAAGTTCAAAAATATTTGGTTGGGCAATTGACCAGGACTGAATATTTGTGTCTACTAACTTTCAAATACTGAACAGTTATGGTTTAAAGTCAATTAAATTCAACAAGCCTTTTTAAAAAGCCTATTATGTGCTAGGCACTGTAGATAAAAGGACAAAAATAGTATAGTCTCTGCCCTGAAGGATCTTGCCTTCTGCTAGACAAGTAAATAAAATATAATCTGGGGGTATTGGTAATTCAGGGGCTCAAGAAATATATCATGTAAGATCACATACTTGAGCTGAGTCTCAAAGGAAGCTAGAAATTCCAAGAGGCAGAGGTGAAAAGAGAGAGTATCTGAAGGACAGGGGGGCTAGTTTCTATTTCTTTCATTTATAAAAAAAAAAGTTATTCCACTGAAGTTATGAGTTCCTTATAAAATATTAGCCATAGAGAAACATCTATATCATACAATGACAGAGGTCACAGATGAATGGAAGGAGGGAGGGAAAGAGATATAAATGGACATGTGTGTGTGCTTTACAAAAAAATAATAACAATAATAAAATAAATAAAACATAAAAAAGAAGGGAGCAAAACTATTCCAACCAAATGATCACCAAGAGAAAGGCAATCCCTTTATTTGAGAGACTACTGTTAAATTATAATATGTTTTAAGTTTTCACTGGGCATACAGTTATACTGAAAGGGTCAGATCACTATATCAATACATGCATTTATCTCAGGACTTTCAGTGAGCTTATCAGAGGATGAAGTATTGAAAATTAGTAATTTCTGTTTATTTCCATTGCCCGAATGCATATTTTATTATAATTTATTGACATGTCCTTCACTTATTCAACTATCCTATTTTCAAATTAATATAATTCAGTTCATTTCAGTCTAATTCACTCAGCATTTATCAAGCCCCTACTATGTGCCAGATACTGAGGCTATAAAGATAAAAATGATACAATTCCTGTCTTCAAGAAGCTAACAGTGTCCTGGTAACGATTGTGAAAATTCTGTGTCATGTCAGTAACATGGAATACTGAATCCCATTTCAACATCATTTACTATGTTGAGCTCTTTGTGGTTGGTCATAAGTTTTAAAATTCAGATTTCTGGAGCTTAATGCAAGTAAAGATTTCTGTTTTCTCATGAAACTCTATGGATTAGTCTGAATGGGGCAAAGACTGTGTGAAATATTTCAGCCATTCAGAAAGGTGTTGAGCTGCAATCAAACATGAACTGGCTGCTGCTCATGCCCACTATGTCCAAGGAAGTGACTGGATTTTGTGATGTTTCTTTCCCCTCCCCCATCTCCATTTCTGCTTCCTACCCCTCTGTGTGTCACGTTTTTGAGTCTACACTTTGAAGAGGATCTTAATTGTTCTTTTTGTTTTATTGGACACAATACAAGCTAGAATATTAATTAAAAACTACATTATTTGGAATTTGGTTAAGCATGTCCAAATGTTTGTTCCCTAGGAGATACTAGCTCCACTGCACTTTGGTGGCCATGAGGAAATTTACATTCTTTTGGGGAAATACTATTGCAGTTCAAAAAATTGATCCCACATAAAAGAAATTGGTTGTCAAAGGAATATTTAAAGTAGGAATTTTTAACTGTTTTTTTTATCCGTTATCCCTTTGGCAGTCTGATGAAATCTGTGGACTCCTCAGAATAAGGTTTATAAGGTCATAAAATATATAAGATTATGAAAGAAACAAATTATATTGAAATAAGGATATATTTTCCCTATTCTGAAATCTAACCTCCACCTTTGGGTGTCATTGGAACACAGATGAAGAATTCTTGATTTAAAGAAATTAAGTGATTAACACTTAAAACAAAGTAAAATAGTCCTTTAATTTCTAGAATTTGCTTTAAGAAAGTTATTGAAAACTGGTTTAATTAAAACTATGTCTCATATGATTATCAGAATCATCATCATGGCTAGCATTTGTATAGTGGCTTAAGGTCTGCAAAATGCTTTATAAATATTATATCCTTTGATCCTCACAACAATCTCAGAATACAGAAGCCATTTAACTGATGAGGTAATTGAAAAGACAAGGGCTTCAGTGACTTGTCCAGTGTCACACATCTATTAAGCATCTAAGCTCAAAATATTCAAATGAAATATTAAAATCTATAATCTATGATACCAGTCCGCATATTAGAAAAGTCAGAATTCTAATTCCTACACAGTTATTTTTTAAAAATTGAACTTATATGCAAAAATCTATGTCTATATAATTTACACACACACATACACACACATACACACACACACACACACACACACACACTAGACAAGTCACTTGATCTCTTTGTAGCCCAGGAAACTTTCTAAGATCAAAAATTTTGATACAGATACCTATTTACATTGGTAGAAGAAATCCCCTTACTTGGAGATCCTTATGCCAATGAAATTAGAGATCTGGTTCTAGAAACACACCAGAAACACAAATACACACAGTCATTCTTTCAACCTCTTCTAGATCTGCTTACCCTCCAATTTTCTCCAGTGTAATGGCCTCAGAATGCAGAGTTTCATCAAGTTCCATATGGGTACCCCTATATCCCATCATATCCCAAGCCTCCTGAGGGCTGTGCCATCATGAAATCAGAGGACATGCTTAGCTCATTTTCTGTATCCCCTATGAAAGGTAGAAGATAGCTTAGGGCTTAAAACAACTGAATAAGAATTAAAAAAAAAACAACATTCATTTTTGTGACCAAAATGCAGAGTACTAAGCACTACGTAATAGCACACAGGCAATTGTCATGTGCAGGAATTGTTCTAGACTCTGCTTGCTCAATTACAAAAGTCAAAAGAATACCTGCCGTCAAGGAGCTTCTAATCTTCTGGGACATTATATTCTGTAGAAGGAAATTTGGTAGTACAACTAATTTGTCACTTCAAAAATAAAAAAAATTAAACTAAAAACAATATGGTTTATGAAATCTTTTTGTTATCTTGATGCTCATTTCTACAGCCATGATATGTTGAGATGGCATAAATATATGAGGACCACGTTTATATGGAAACAAAGCATATCTTGCCAACTGGTGAAATGATTGTCAGCAAGACTTTTCAAAAGATAAACTTTGTGTTTACAATCCAGAGACAGATATGAGTTAGCTGTTCCCCAAAGGGCTTCCTTTTTTTTCGCGTCTCTCCAACATAACAGTAGACTACATTCACATCTCTTTCATCATCAAATTAGCCACAGAACAATGACTTTTTGAGCTCTAGCACCTTACAAAGATAATCTACTAAGTCACTGAGGAGTTGTGATCTGCACTGGTAGAGAGAATGGTAGAGGGAAGAAACCAGCCATCATAGAATCATAAGATTTTAGATTTTGAGCTGGATAGGGCCTCAAAGGCCAATAGTGCAGCCACATTCTTTTACACAGAAAGAAACTGAAGCCCAGGGAAAGAGTAAGTTAATTTTTTTTCAAGGTCACATAGTAAGCATTATAGATTGGAGTGGATCCCAGATCTTCTGACTCCAGAGCAATCTCTCCATTGAATCAGTTCTAGAAGCATTATAGTGTATCTTCTATGTGGATTGTTTTCCTGAATAACTTTGATTTCTGATTCTTTTTGTTTTCACTCTTTATAAGGACTCAACCTTTTTTTTATGTCATCGACACCTTTGGTAGTCTGGTGATTGACAGAAGTCTATCGATTTCCTTTCAAAATAATGATTTAAATGCATAAAATACAATATATGGGATTGTAAAGGAAACAAAATATGTTATAATACAGTTATCTAACTTAAAAAAATTAACAGATCCAAGGCTAAGAAGCCCTATAAGAAAGGATGTCTCATTAAGCAGAGAATGGTAAGGGAATATATTCAGAAATGAAAAACAGATAGAAAAAATATTTTTAAAAGTCCAAATAGGTATATGTCTTAGAAAACACAGAGATGTCAAAATATAAAACTGTTTAAAAATATGTAATACTTAGCTTTAAAATATCAATTGATATGATATTTTAAAGAATTTCTTTCCTGAGAGAGTAATAAATTCTGATTATCCCAAGTCCATCATTTGCTAATGTATGCAAATAAAGTATTACAGACACTAAGCCAAGTTGTTTTTGCCACTCTTGTATTAGAATCAGTAAATGTAATGGAAATTAAACCATTAAGACAACATTGCGACCACAGCAGGAAGGAATATGATAGTGTAAGTCCTAGCAATATCATGTATTGAAAAGAAATGGAAAAACCCAAACAAAACAAAACATCCCATCCTCATATACAAACAGTGCTTACTATGTCCCTGCTATGAGCTCCTTGTGTGCATTCTGTCTGACATGCCACTCAGCATACCATTCTCGTAAGTAGGTTTCACTGTGAAATTACCAGTGGAATGAAGAGACAGGCCAGCACACCATGATATTAATCTCCCAAGTCCTCAATCTCTCAACAATAGCTTCATTATTCAGGGCCACTCAGCTTGGTCAGTGTTTGTGCATGTTTTCAGCTGTTTCATTAAGAGCCATTTGATTTCAAAAGAATTCAATGGCTGTGAAAATGCATAATCTAAAAAAAAAAAGGTCCCCCAAGTTCTTGCTTCTAGAAGAAGGGGGAGGAAGAGGGAGAATGGAGCAATCACCAGAGAAAGAATAATCATTTAAAACCAAACCATTTTGAAGGGTTCATGGGGAGGACATTTGAGCCAGGGCATGAGGGAGACCGATTTCACACATCTGTCTGTTTAATGGAAAGGACCAAATTCTAAGTACATGCCTATCAGTTCTAATTAACTCATCGGCTGCTTATATTACTGTGATTATCCTTTACCCCCATACCCCATCTACAGTTTTAATGGTTTTCTATAAGCAACACATAATGTTCGGTTTTAACCATTGATTTCTGGGAATGTGAAAACCTTATCTAGGACGGAGCATTGCCTCTTCTCAGGATTGCCTAAGCACAAAGGGACCAGCTCACAGACAATCTGCCTGTGTGTGTAGACTCATATGGTGGAGGTGTTCTGATTCAGTCATCCTGATTCCCTGTAGCTTGTTAAGACAGCTCCCAAAGAAGCAAAACCAGTATTTCTAGGGACCCACTGCTTACACAGCTGTTCAGATGGCCCAAGGCAAAACAGAATGACCCACTACTTCAGTCCCTGTTCAGTTCCAGGACACAAGCCCAGGCACAGAATGAGATGGAATTTTAAGAAGAAAACAAAAAGGAAAGGAAGGAAATGGCTTAATTTTTTTCCCCCAAAAGCTTATTAGTGGTTGTATAACAAAGAGGGAACTAGGTACAAAAAGTTACATGTGGAAAGTCGATAATGTGAATAGCTGCTTGGAAAATAAATTGCTAAATCACAATGGACATTGTCTCTGAAAACATGCCACCCAGTGAGAACTTTATGTGAAGAACTTAATCTATAGATTTTCTTTTTTTTCCCAGAGACCCATGACATCATCACTGCATTCTCAACGTGGAAATTAAACATCTACTGATGCAGACTGGCAATTCATCTATCATTTGTAGTCGTAGAAATCTGTAGCAACAAAGATAGTAATTCCTAGAGATAGAACTTAAACCTCAATCTTTCTGACCCCAGGACTGTCTCTTTACCCATTATACCATAAGGCCTCTCAAGAGGATAACAAAGAATATCACCAGTTAAAATTTTGTAATTTCACTATGAAAGACATATGCAAAGGGAATTATGTCCTGAACAATTCCTATTCTATTTGGTTATCAAAAATGATTCCTATTTTGTTCCACAATCACAATACATTAAAAAAAAATAGAGATTGTATGACAGGCTTCAAAGTCATCAGCTAGAGGAATTTGTTAATTTTATTATCAGAGGATATAACATATAAAGCACTTCATAAAAATTGTTATTATTGTCATTATTCCAGATGGGAGCTGGATTTGTGATTTGACAAACTCTGTCTACCAAAGCAGGTAGTCAAATCAAAGAATTCGGTAGCATTGAAAAATAAGTAACATGTCTATACTTCCTGCAGAGTCAAGAAGGTAGTCTACATCAGAGGTAGTAACTAAATCCAGGTCTTTCTAGTTGTAACACTAGTCCTCTATGTATTTTGTTGGGTCTGCCTCCAGAGATGATGACAATGCATTTAAATTCCCCATATTACCACACCTACATACCTAGTTGTATGTTAGAAACCATTAACATTCACCATTAATATTGAAACATTGGCCAGCACAATTAATACCAACTGATCCACGTGGAGATGTTCATCTCTTTTCTTCTAGAAGAGTCTTACTATGGGTTTTCACAACTCAGGAAAGAAACACGACTGGGTTCATGTTTCTGTCTGCATATCTTCGAAATTGCTTGTTTTCACTTTTTGATTCTTTACCAGATGGATACACTATTTGGGACACACTGAATTGCTCTAAAATTCTAAGATTCGAGTACTTGTATCTGATTGTATATCCATAAAATCCATTCGGTGAGTGTCCCTGTGGAATATACAGAATCAATTGACAAATTAAATAAATCAAGTTCCTAAGAGTGGCAAAGCACTTGGATACAAACATTGGTGATACCGAGAAGGGTAACAACTTAGCCCAACCCTCAGAAACCTTACAAACTAAATAAGGGAGAAAAGGACAAAGGCTAGGTACAAGTCTACCATTGGCTTCCATTCTCCATTAGGCCACTGGTCAGCCCGACACTCTGGAGATTGTAGTGTTTTATGAGTTCCCATAATATGGCATAATGAGGAAAGTAATTGACTTCTGCAATAGGGAGCAATATGGGCCCATCCACACTACACAGTTTCTCTCGGGCAAAACAATATGTTCTCATCCTATTATTTAATATTGGGCCACATTTGGATATCTGTAGCATCTTCCCAAAATATGTGTCTTCATAGCTGTCTCTCTATTTGTCTGTCTTTCCTTCTACCTTAATCTCTCCCTCCAAAGCTTAGAGACAGCACATATGGCAGAGGTTACTCAGAATCAGCAGGACCAAGACTGAAGTCCAGCATTTCAAAGCATACAAGTTGTGTGTTCATGGATAAGTCTCTTGACCACTCAACACCATCAGACAATATCTAATACATACTTCAAATGAGATTACAAGTTGCCATTAGAAGAGGGAATTTCCACCTTGTGAACTGTCAACATAGATGAAATCACAGGCAGATTGTGAATAAACACACACGAGTAAATTAATGAATGATACATGTATGTTGACACATGTTGGTTATGTGTGTATTTGTGCACACATATGCACATGGGGATCTATGATCATAATAGCATAAATATCTTCAGAAGTAAAAAGCTCCATCTGCTTAACAAAAATTATAAGTTGAGACACACGTGTGCACACACACACACAGATAGATGGATAGAGATAGAGATAGATGTATCTATCTCTATATCTCCATATCTACAGACCCATATAGAGAGATATGTAGATATATCTGTATTTATCCAAATATACACACATGCATACACAGGAATTTATGAACATATACATATATGCATACATGTATGCATACACATACAGTTGCCCTTTATACATATTTATTTGCTTATCTTCCCCCATTAGATTGTGAGCTCCTTGAGGGCAGAAAGTGTCTTTTGCTTCTTTTTGTATCCCCAGCACTCAGCCAAATGCCTGTGGAAATAAGT